GGTCTTAGAAACCCACATTTTCTTCGTATATTCCAAATATAATGTAGTTTTTAAATGGTTAATGGTTAAAAGCAAGAAATTAAAATAGTTGAGACATTAAGTTAAGCTCATCTGCATTACAAGATCTAACATTTGGCAGAGTTTCTGACATTATCAACGAAGAAATGCGGTGAATATGGGATTAAAAACTATAAAAGACCTATTTTCACTGTATTCTAGTAGTAACATTCTTGCATCAATTTTGACAGTATTTCGCACAGATTTTGAAGAATATAAAAGGATAATTCGCACTATAAACCTATGAATAGCTAACTGAAAATCGGTAATTATTGCATAGATCAACCAATGTAATGAGATGAGCCTTGAAACCCTACTTACATACGAATATAGATCAACCAAACCAGAATTTCTCAGGATTATAACCAAGAATAGTTGCCATCCGTGAATTGAGCTGGGCGAGATAAATTCTATAATAAAGGAGTTCTTAGTGGTATGGCCTCAAGATTCTATTTCTAATGAACCGAATTTTGACAAGATATTTCATTTGATTAAGTCTCGCCAGACTTAGAGATAGGAGCTGAAGTGGCATTTTAGGTTCACTCGTGAATAGTGAATAGTGAATAGTCTAACGCGAATCAGCGGCGTCTTCTAGTGACATTAGCCTACCAATCTATTCATCATGGACATGATATTTTGCAATTGCATACCGTTGTTTAATAGTGGATAGAAGGACCAAGATATTTTGGCGTCTCTTTTACTAGCAGTCGTCCTTCGCTCTATCCAAGTGAATTTTTTGACCTCATTTTCGGAACTTGGTGGTAGCGACAAGGAGACTTTATGGAACATGATCTGTCAAATTATTCATGATTATTTCCGGCATGGGATCGTCGACTTGGTAGATTTGAGCTCTTCATTTGGCCACGATGCTGGAGAAGAGTCTGAAATGCGACAACAAAGTCAGAGGCAGCATAATTATGGCGCCTAAATTTCCCCAAATGGTCCTCGGCCCATTGACAATTTTTGCCTCATCATGATTTTCCCTCTTTCTAAAGGTACACGAGCTCTGTGACAACTTCTGCTCCCGGTACATTACATGTCTGCGCGGAAAGATGCCAATCGACCTGGTGATCGAGGATCGTGATTCTGCCGGCTCAACCGGCTCCGCAACGAGTCCCCAACCCGCCAATGGGTCTGCAGTCACGAGCGACTCCAGCTGTGGCAACACGAGCTCTTTCCGCGGCGGTCTCGCCGGCTCCATGACGACGCATGGCGCCGGCGGCGGGGCCACTGCCCGAGACGACTCGCCCGGCGGCATCTGCCCAATGGGCTACTCGCACCCGCCGCAACAGCAACACCCGCACCATCACCAACACCAACATCAGCATCAGCATCAACATCAACAGCCTCATCATTCGATGCATGCGAGTGGCCAGGGCCTGGGCCATCTACAGACGACACCCCCCTCAGCTGGCCATCATCACCAGCACCAGCAACAGCATCAACATCAACATCAGCACCAACAGTCACACCATCCCGGGCACGTTTCAGACGGCCCCGCTACGGGCAGCCTCAGTCCCGTCCTCTCGGGCGTCACGCCGCTTCATGGCCAACCGGCCAGTCTGACTCCATCACCATCGCCGTTGCCGCCACATCTCACTCCCTCCAACGGCACCGACTACTCCGCAGCAACCTGTACTGCGTCGAGCACAGCAACAGCCGCGGCCGCCGCGGCCGCCGCTGCCGCTGCCAGCCTCTACGGCGGTCTCTACGCCTCGTCGGACTCCACGAATGGCATGAGCGCTGGCGCCTCCGGCCCCGACGGTAGCCCATCCGGCTACGAGCATGCGTCACATGTCGCCTACCCGACGCCCGGCTACTCTGCCCACATGACTCACCCTTCGCCGCCGGGCCCAGCCTCAGCTGCGGGTCGGCAGAGCCTCGAGGCGGCCTACTACGCGTCGGGCGGACCGGCCACCTCGACCGGCTATTCGGCATTCATGGCGCCCGGGCTCGAATCCCAACCGCAGCACCACTCGGGCCACCACCTCGCCCAGCCGAACGGCTACTATCCGACGCCCGGTCCGGAGGCCGGCCAACCGGACGCCCAGTTCGCCGGACTCGACGTGCCTGGCTACCCGAGCCCCGGTTACCCGGTCGGTCTGCTCTCGCACTCGCACTCGCACTCGCATCATCCTTCTGTACCGAACACACACCATGCGCAACAGGCAGGCCAACACCATTCGCATCATTCGCACCAGAGTCAGCACAACCAACATCACCACCTCACGTCGGGGCACCAGCAACAGGTGTCTGGCTATTCGGGCCAAGTTGGCGTCGAATCGCCGGCCGCCAGCTCGTACCACTCCGCCATGGCGGGTGGACTGCCGTTGGCGTTGCACAACTCGTTGGCCGCCACGGCTGCTCTCCTCTCCGGCCAGACCGCCGGAGGGCCCGGACACTCAGAAGCGCCCCTCTCCGTCAACACCAGCACCTCTTCTTCCTCGTCCACCACCGGCCTCCTGGCCAGATCCAAGGTGAGCCATGCAACCAACACAACGACATGTATCCCTTGGGAAAGGACAGTTCAGCCGGGCATTTGAACAAGTATAGAATCCTATACGAAGAAAAGTTGGCTTTCGAGGAATCTCTTGTTTCATGATTGTTGAGCTTACTTTCATTTCGAGTAGAAGTGTTGGGTGAACAGATTCGAAGGTATGTATGTATGTATGTATGTATGTATGTATGTATGTATGTATGTATGTATGTATGTATGTATGTAT